CGCATTGCGTAGCCTTATTTATTCGCATCAAACAGTCGAGAGGGAAACTAGGAGGTAACAGTCTAGATTCGAATTTTTATTTATTTAATTTTTTGCAAATTTTGAAAAGTTAGATAAAATTCACTCTACAACTGGATGGAAACACGATTACAGAYGCTCCTAAACGGGGCAGTGTGGCGTAAAACAAGGATGATGGTATAAGTGAAGCTGCTGCTGTCAGAGCAGAACACACTTGCAGAAGTAGTAAAAAATGAATGAAGGTTGGCGTACAGATAACGACGTCTGCCCATCGACTTTTATTCAGTAGTGTTACATCACTTACTGTGCATGAATTACACACTTTTATTGTAAAAAAATAAAAGGAGCCAAGGGTGCAAATATACCAGCCACACACTTCTTAGGCTGAGACATTTCCAACTTTACCCTAAGGTTACTCATCAGGAAAAGTCATCAGTTTTTACCATTTTGCAATTACTGCAATTAGTGTCATGTGATGACATATTTTTCACTGTCAGGCCCACATGTGAGCTTAATGGTGGAAGGCGATGCAGAGCAACTAACCCTAACTCTACAAAGTAGTTTAATCATCTGAAACACCAACATAAATTGGAGAGCAAGGAAAGCCAGAAAAAGTGGATCTAGGCAACGTCGGCTAAATGCAAGTGCAAATGTCATCTGTTAAGAGTCATATTATTGAATTCAATAAAACAAATTCAGAATAGAATTTAAAATATTACTCTTAACATACAATCTTAACAATCAAGCTTCATCTTATATCAAACATCTTATTGTTCCATATTTTCCTAACAGAGCACTTCGCTCTCAGACTGCAGGTTTACTTGTGGTTCCTGGAGTTTCTAAAAGTAGAATGGGAGGCAGAGCTTTCAGTTATCAAGCTCYTCTCTTGTGGAACCAACTTCCAGTTTCTGTCCGTGAGGCTGACACTCTGTCTACTTTTAAGATTAGTCTGAAAACTTTCCTTTTTGATAAATCCTATAGTTAGACTTAGGTTTCCTGAATTATTACTTAGTTATTATAGTTAATTAGTTCTGCTGCTATAGGCTTAGACTGCTGGAGGACAAACTGAGCACATTTCCTCACTGCTGTTATTTTAATCTCTCTCCTCTACACGTTTGTTATAATTACTTCTATCAATAACATGTTTTCTTTGTCTCTCTTCCAGAGGAAAATACACCTGGACCAGTTCTTCTGTGTTTGTCTGTGTCTCTGTCCTGTCCTCCAACCAGCCGGTCGAGGCAGATGGCCTCCTGTCCTGAGCCTGGTTCTGCTGGAGGTTTCTTCCTGTTAAGGGGGAGTTTTCCCTCTCCACTGCTGCTGGTGTGCTGCTCAGGATGGAGACTGTGATGAAGCAAAGATTGTGCGCAGTCTGCTGGCTTCTTTAGATTTATTGTTTGTTTGTTTTTTTGTGTACAGTGCCCTGAGACAACAGTTGTTGTGACTTGGTGCTATATAAATAAACTGAATTGACTTGAATATTAATTATCAGCTAAATGCTACAGTTAATTTTGGTCAATTTTTTGCCAACCCTATTTTACACCTGAGTTTATTAACATAACTACTGTCAACATTGATGTACTCAGGTTCAGAGAATTTAGAGATTTAGTTATAAAATATTTGAAGTCATGAAACAAGCAGAAAGGCTCCAACTGAAAGAAACTCCAGAGTGGTGAGGACTTGATCTGGCAACACACTGCTCGTGTTTGCATTGTGTAAAGAAGCTGTTCTGTTATCGCTCACAACAATATGTCCATCTTGGATGTCAATATTTGCCATGTGGGAGAACTGCAATATGTCAGTTACAAAGAGCACAACAAAAAACATCCTACATTGTTATCATTTTAAAAATTGTACAACGGCCTTTGAGCCCCAATCCGATTTGAAAGCTTGTGAAAATGTTGAAAATTATGACCCACCTCTAAATGAAATGAGTAATTATGAGCTGATTGTAAAATAGATTTTTTATAATACATTATCTTTTTAATGACCATAATTATTAACACTGGTACACTTCATTTTCTTTAGACACCAAAGTTATACAAGTAAATAAAAATAAATACTGACCCGGAGGCAAGGAGATCGTTCACTGGGTTCCAGGCACAGATAAAAACTTCTGACTCGTGGCCCCTTAAGACCATAGCTTTACTCTGAGGGATCTCCACATCCCTGTCCACCTCCATCATCTCTGAGTGGTGATCTGAACAAGAGAGTCCATACATTTACTAGGCATTTCCACAGCAATTTTTCACAAACACCGTTCCTGAACTGTCATTGAACAAACCGCTAAAAACACACCTTTGTTCATATAAAACATGACAAACACAAAACTTTTTAAGAAACCATCTCTGCCTCTCAAATGTCACACAATTTTCGTCACGTCTTAGTCATCAAAGAGCTATGTTTATTTCGTTACCGTCTCGTTATCGTCATGAAAAAAGGGGGCGTCAAGGAAAATATTTCGTCATCGTTAACGAAAACAACGCTGGTATTAGCTCAGTGCTACACATTATCCTCGTCACTGAGGTCCTCCATCCAATGAGAGGGGAACACAAAAATTAGTCATCTTGCAACTGAAAATATAGATGGAGGACCTCAGTTTAGCTTGTTTGTTGCGCTAGCGCTGAGCTAATACATATAAAGCAATATAGCGTTGGCGCTAGCGTGAAGGCTAACAGGCTAAGCTGAGGTTCTTCTTCAGTGAAGCAGCTCTGTTGTCCTCCATCCATATTTTCAGTTGTAGCCTGAATCGTTTCTACCTTCTCCTCTCTGTCAACGCCATAGACTTGAATAAGATCAACAGACTGAGCCCCGCCCACACCGTCCACTGGTGGCATCTGTGACAGCATGGAGGAGCAGGAATGGCGTCCAAAAATCCTCTATAGAAACTAATAGATAAACAGCAGCTGAACTGGATCTGTTTCACAGATTATCTGTCATGTTTTTACAATAAATTAATAACCATGTTAATTTCATTCAACAATCATGTAAAACAGCAGATTTATACCAGAAATATATATATAATTTATAAATAATAATCTAAACCAGACCTGAAGTCAGCCTGTAACTTAGACTTTAG